AGTTTGTCTGACTGGTGTGTTATGCCAAATACGTAATGTTGCGCGGGTAAAAAATATATAAAATCTATTAAAATAGAGTATGGTATGAGCAATCAATAAGATACTAACTTTCAAAAATCTCCTTCACGCGTGAACAATTAAAAATCTGGAGATGATATGATTGAGAAATATATTGAATGCTGTCCAGCATATAAAATCTTGGAATGCGGAAAAAAAAAATTTTTTTGGGTATCATTCATCTTTCGTTCTCTGCTTTGGGCTGTCAGGTAGAATATCTCCATGAAGATGCCAATATTGTTGTCGCATAATTTCAAAAAAATTTCGCTTGATGATGAAATAGATGACTATTAAACCTTCAAATTATTCCATCTGAAAACCAATTTCTGGGCTTTTCATCATTGATTTTCTGAGGAAGAGAAGACGAGAACGGCCGTTTTGCCAGCCATGCAGTCAGGGTGTACGCAAGTCAAAAAAAAAATTCATTCGCATTTGGTTATTTTAAGATAATGGTGACAAAAAATGAAATCGCACAACTGATGAAAAGATGAGATCAAATGTATAATTGCAGATGAGTATTCATAAAAGCTATCTGGATATTACTGTCTTTTTCTTCGGAAATGTCCAGTTCGTACACGTAATTGCACAAATTCGTGAAAATGGTCACGTAGATTGTGTAAGACTAGCAGTTCACACTTTGTTCCAGGTTTATTGGAATAGCATCTTTTCGCTCCTGTAGCACCGCATCCGTCACATAGTTCTGTAACAAACATGGTTATTAAACAACATCATTTTCACAGTATTACTATTCTTAGTGTAATCATCTAACCAATGAAGGAATGTACAACCATTTTGAGACTTTCCGCAGCAATAGCATCCAGCGTTGGGAACTCTCAAAAAACGATACAACAAGTATCGGATGAAATCTTTATAATCTGGATACTGGTCAAACCGTCTTTGGCGTTCTAAACACTTGATTGATTATTCTTAAAAATTTAATTGAACTCTACCTCTCAAAACTTGGACTCGGTCTTGTTTGGGAACTTTTGCGTTTTGGAAATCTTCGAAAAACCCTCGAAGATCTCTGAGTACATTTCTGTTTGAATCATCCAGCCATTCATCATCTTTGAAGAAGCTTTTCTTCTCGTCCTGGCTCATATCCAAAATGATGCTGAAAATCGAAACATAACATATTATGAGGAATATGGGCACATTTCCATAATGATGCTGAAAATCGAAGCGTTATTTACTATGAAGAAAACAAGGAATATGATGCCATATGCTTCATATTCCCATAATCTGGTCAACGTAAAAGAAGTATTCTAGCTTATACCTCATCTGACCGGAGGTAAATAAAGGTTTATTCCGAAAGGTCGCGACTGCAGATGGCATCTGACCTATGGCTGCTCTTGTTTGTCTCATTATACAGATTAATTCCGAATGGAAATAGTCCCAGTAGGTGATATGTCGAGTGAGGAGGCTAAATGCATAAATATAACACCCATACAAGGACAAATTGGTCAGGTTATAACCACTGGACATCTTCTCAAGTTATGAAGTCTAGGTCAATGGAATGTTAAAATGTCTGGATTCTGTTAGAAGAATCTTGAAAAGTAGGTCAATGGTGCCACATATTGATCTCTGATATCGTTCCATTTTATTACGGTATATTTACACACAGGGTGGTCTGATTTGATCTACATGTATAGCGCGAAGGCCGCTCGTTGTAGTCTGGTATGCCTTCATCGAATACCGATATCTATCAATCAATCATTCTTTCGTGAATGATATTGTTAACAAATATTGCTATAGAAGTATAACAGAGCTCAATACAGTACTACACTAACCGACTTTTCAAAAGAAGCAAAATTCATGTCAGGCCAATCAAACAGAAAAAAGTTGTCGGAGCAACGTGACAGAGCAGGAGAGTAGTTAAGTCAACACAAGTAACTAATACTTTTAACGAGGGAGTAAGCAGAAGTTCAAACAACTCCACGCAATGTGTTCCATCAATCACCTGTAATAGAAACATAAATAGTTGAAAAGACCTAAACGATTGAAAACATTTTCCAATAAAAATGATTTCTAAGACTCCATATTCCCTTTCTATCTTTGATTGAACAAGTTGGGCGAACATATTTCATCAAAACTTAATTGCTCGTTCATGTTATATCAAATATGCCCGGAGAGATAATAAAAAAGTAATTTGCAGTTATTAATTATGAATTTCAAAATGTATGTATGATCTTACTGACGTAATCTGATTAGATAAAGAGTTAGCTATCTCATAATATTTCACAAACGATTCCTTAACGATTGTATAGCAAACATTCCGGAAATTTCTCATTTGTATAGAAATATCGTTTGAGAATACTCTTTAACAATCAATACAATTTTTTGTTTGCTTTTTCAAAAAAGAAACGTTTTTAATCACTTTCGAAAACTTTTTTGTCATTGTTGTAATGCGTGCATATCATTCCTCACTTCTTGTTCAACACATTATTCTCTCGCCTTTCCATCGTGGTGACGTGTCATGTTCTTCACTTTATTTCTTATCATTCCGGTTCTGAATGACAAATTCATAATAAAAGTCCCGTTCATCGTCTCCATTTGGAAA